TTGTTTCACTTAATTCTTGTATGTTGTTCATGTTATTACTGCTCCATAAACGTTAAGAGGCAGTCGGAACTCTCAGGGCTTCGCCCTGATACGAGCAGTCTTGTTTTGTTTATATTCTGTTAAAGTACGTTAGATGCTAAACTACACAAACATCCTTAAGCTTCTCTTTTTCAATTTGCTACTAATCATTTCGTGTTTTGCAGCGTTGCATTGTCTTTTTTTACAGCAAAAGTACAGAGCTGATTAAAATTATTCAGACAAAACGAACAAAGCTTGAAAACTCAAACATTTTTTTCTAAAATTGGGTTCTGGTGGCTGACAAGCGTTTTCCAAAAAATAGTGGCTGCAAAAATTAGTTTTTTGTGCATAATTTAGTCCTGGAAACACAAAGTTGTGCTTTTTTCCGTCTCTCTGGATAACTTTTTTTTCTTCAAAACGCATAAAATGATTATTTGTTTTGTATGATATGTTTTTGTTGCCTTGATCAATGATGCATGAGTGATAAAAAAGGTTTAAAGTTTGAAAATTTGATTGTATCATTTCTGTGAGACAAATCTAAGGCAATTCAGGCCCTATTCAAAAATGCAAGACGGTCAAACCTCACCACTCTACTTTTGAGCAACTTTGAGAGACTTGAGAATTTTAATTTAGAAATAAAAATCAAATTTTTCGGTTCATAGGAAAATGCTAGTCATATACGAAAAATCACTAACCATAGACTTCCCATGCAATTTTCATTACTTATGGAACTGCATGAAAAGTGTATGATTAGCATTTTTCAATATATGAAAATTGTATGATTATCATTTTTGGTCAACCCGGGATTGTACGGTTGATCCTATATTTTTTGCTGTTTTACTTAGAATTTTTGTTTCTTGATTGATCGGTCTCAGACAAAGTGCCCTATTGTGGCGCTATCTTTGTAGGGTCATAATGCTTCATGGTTCATGCATGAATTTTTGACGCAAATAAGCTTGCCCTCATATGGCGAAAGGGAAGGTTGTTTTTTCTTCCGCTCGGGTTTTATAAACAGATTGCGACCGAAATTGAATTGCGGTAAACTTCGTTGAGTTATTTGATTGGCTCGCACTTGTTTTCATTTTTTTTATTTCATTGAATTTTTTAATGTTATTACTGCTTCTTTAAAGGCAGTCGTAACATTCAGGGCTTCGCCTTGATGCGAGAAGTCTTGTTTCTTTTCTTTTGGAATTTTTAGCTTGAATTCTTTAAAATTTAAAATTAAATATGGTAAAATTTGCAAAATTTTCAGTTTCGTCATTCAGAGGGCAAATAAAAATAATAAACTAGAGGCAAGAAGCAGTAACGATCGCTCAGACTCCGACAGAGTTAGCATAGAAACGAAACAAAAATAGCGCATTTCTTTAACAAGAACCACTTAAGAATCTTCATAGCCAGTACATGAAAATCACCAAAGCTTTAAAGGACGCCCACTTTATTTACATGTCTACAGCGTCTAAGATTAACACCAATGTTGCTGCTCATTTATACACAAAGGACAGAGATACAGTTGCATAACAGCTTGAAATCAATTGGAATAAAACGCAAGACCATGGCTCAAACTCTAAGAAATAGATTTATACGAGATCATGCGAACGGGAAAAAGGCTAGATATCGGTTACAAGATATTTGCTCTTGAAGAAGTAAATTATAGTTTCAATTAAAAATTTAAGAAACTGCTAAGGATGTCACAGAGGCGTTTGAACTCAGAGGCAAAGCAGAGCTTGGCATCATTTCCGATACAACTCAAACATAAAAAAAACGTAATTGAAAGAAAATAAAAAACGCCGAAAAAAATTAGTGAACCAAAATTTTCGTTTGTCTCGATAAAAGATAACTGTTGATATTTGTGAATTTGTTATACTGATGCAGGAGATGGGTTATTTCAAAAATTGGCATTAGCACAAAACCTTAGTTGTTTCTCTACTTAAAATAAGTGAGAAGAAGGAAAACTGGAAGCTTGAATCTTTTGAAAGACATTTCTTTTTCTTTTCACTTTCGTCGTTTGTGTAGGAACAATTCTGCAACCGTTTCTATTGATTGAACCCTTCATCTCAGGTTTGATAGGGTTGTTTCTAAGGAAAAACAAAACTTTTCTTAAAAACGGCCAGAAGTTCAAAAAGTCATACAAAACTTTTTCTACAAAATTCAGGTCGGGTTGCTAAATAAAAAAAGATTCCCCAAAAGCGGATTTCTCGATTCAAAATTTAAGCTAAGAATTGGCAGAGTAGTTTTCGAGAAAAATCAAAAATATTCCAAGAAACATTCAGAAGTATAAAAAACTGACATTTGCGAGGATCATACTTTTTTGTATTAAACGTTTTGAGCGAAGACCTTCATTTAAAAAAATCACACATGTTGATTCAATTGAATGCAAAAATTCAAAATGATGAAGGCAGTTTCCGAGAAAAGTATAATAGTTTCAGAAAACGGTAGAAAAAAAATTTGATTTTCCGATTGCCATAACTTTTGTGTTAAGAAAATTGGACCGATTCAATTATGGAGGAAAGCTTCCTACGAACATATTCGTTTGAAGTCGGGTCCAGATTTGGGAGGCTAGTTTATGAGAAAAATCAAAAAATCAGAAAGTGGTTAAAAAATTAAATATTTGACAATTAGAGGGTCATAATTATTTGTGCAAAACATTATTGGGCGTAGCCGCTTATGCAAAAGCTTCCCGCAACCCGCTATAGCCATTAAACAAAAAGTTTCAGAATTGGGATGCTAATTTTTGAGAAAAAGAAAAAAAAATGACAATTTGGTAAAATATTCTTCTCGTAGACTTTTTGGAAGGCTTTAGAAAAATAAAAAAGACTAGAAGATTATGCAAGCACAAAGAGTAGTTGGCGGTTTTTATTTTGATACCCATTTTAAAAACCGGTTGAGTAGGTTTTTGAGAGTTTTTTTTTCATAATAAATGATTTTATCAAACAAGATTTATAGTTCAACATGCCAAGCAAAATAATTGCAAAATGAGATCGCGATTAAATCACTTTGAGCATGATCGATTTCAAATACTTTTTCCAAATAAAAACACTTAGTAAGCTTAAGTGTTTCTGTTCGTTCGATGGTAGTTATTAAAATTCTTACATTCTGCAGTTTGGCGGCGCTGTTTTGGATAAATGCTCATTAATTTGATGCATAAAACTTCTAAACTGGTACAAGCTAACCGCCGCACTTCAGAAATAAATTCAAAACTATCATCTGTGATTGATGAGATTTAATAACCCTTGGAACACCGTTGGAAATCTCAATGAACTTAAAAAAAATTAACCCATCAGTTTTTAGGAAATACTTCAATTTGTTTTTTGATAGAAAAAACACCTTAGGGTCGTAATTACAAGAACAGCTGTTTGCCCACCACCGTTTTCAATAAAACTACCAATTAAAACAATTGAATCATAATTTTTTATCAGCCGACCAACCTGCATATGGCAAACAGAAGCAGAAAACGCAATCCAGTAGCTCATATGAGGCAAAAACCAAATATAACAAGGGAAAAAAAGCAACATAGCCAATTAGCCAACTGACCGTTGCAAAAAAAATAATGGTCGCAATGAAACAAAAAACTGACTAGTTTTTTTTAAACTGACTAGTTTTTTTTATAAAATTGAATTTCGAACTTTTAAGAAAATTTGCCCTTAAAGCTTTTATAACATTTTACGATTGACACTTTTCTGATGAAATTAACTCATTTTGAGAAAACTAGATCAATACAGAAAATTTATATTTAACTTGGAAATCTGGTTATTTAATTCCATTTTCGAAATTAGAAGTAGATCAAGTTTTTCGTCTCTTTCACACTTTTGCTGTTCGATAGTGGATTTTGTCTTCCTTTCCTTTTGACAAAGGAAAATAATTAAACTTCAAACCGAAAGTCTAACCGCAAAAAAAAATTGAGCCTGAAAAAATTTCAAGACTGAGTAAGAAAACATCGCAAGTTATACAAAAGTCTGAACTGCTTTCGACTCTCAAAAAAACACTGACCAAAAAAAGTACTCAATTCGTTCATTGCTCAAAATAAGCATTGCAAAGCTAAACTTTGCTGTGCCGGAATCAAACCTACGATCTGTAGATTAGGCGTCTCAAGCTCTCACATTTGCCCCATAATCGCTTTAAAAATTACTAATACTAGCTATCATTAAGGCAGCTACAGTTGCTAACTTGCTGATGCTATGCAACGAAACTTCCAACTAAAAAACATAGACCTATATGACTACGTTCATTACTCTTAAAGACCTATATGACTACGTTCATTACTCTTAAAAAATAAAACTATTTCAATGATCCGAATTTGAAAATGCGACCTTTAGGTTAGGAGTCTCAGATCCTCGTATCTGCGCCACGTTCGGTTGGAAGAAGGCTATCACTGGTCACCAATAAAACAGAAACAAATGCTATTAAATTGCCTATGGTTGTAAATATTGCAAAAGCCGCCAAATAAGCCATTTTATTTACCGGAATTCGCACTATCCAAATATTTGGATAGTTTCAAACTATTCAAATAAGCACAAAATGCCGGAATTCAACCTCCGATATGTAGATTACGAGTCCCGCGTGCTCGCATCTGCGCCCCGGTCACTTGGCAAGAAACTAACACTAGCCACCAATAAAGCAGGTACAGCTGCTATTAAATTACCAAGGTTTGGAAATATACCAAAAGTGCCACCAAATCAGCACTTCTATTTGCTCCGCTTGCGTAAATATTTTACTTCAGAGCATTAAACAATATTTTGCAATCAATTAACTAACTAAAACAATCAATATACTTTAAGTAAATAGATATAAATTTTCAATATTTCGACCAGTAATCTAGGCAAGCTACTGAACTAAAATTGGTGATCTTACGAAGTATCAAAAACTCTAATTTTTTTTAATATGACAGGGTTCGATGGACTACTTCTATTATTATATTAGAATAACTAAGATCGATGGATTTATTGTAAATTTTTAAATGCTATTTTACAAATGCATATCTCACCATCGAAAAACAGTTAACGCTCTTATTGAACTATACCACGTTCAGTAGCTTCAAATATGATAAATTTTGGCATCAATTAGGGTAGGTATTCAGATTAGAATAGAGTTCAGCCGATAGTTCACAGTCTTGAATAATTTCAGCTTCATCTGTTAAATAACATTGTGACCTTGAGGTTGAGTGGCTGAGAAACCGGAAATATCTACCCTACTCTCATGAGCAAGCAGCTGTGAACTCTCGTCATTAGACTCCTCCAGGCGGAACGGAGTTCCATCGCAATTTTGAACTTCATTCACCTCTGCTTGTGTAACATGGTTCATAGTGGCCTGATGTTCAGTTGTAATAACATTTATTTCATTAGTTCGTTCTTTCATTGATGACTCATAGGCGGTGCCTGTTTCCATGAGTTGGTGGATCACTAGTTTCTTGTACACTCCTTCTTTCTCTAGGAGTTTTTCGTGGGTCCCCATTTCGGATATACTTCCGTTTTCAATCACAATCACCTGTAATTAAACAAACTCAAAGTTACTAACTGTGAACTCGATTTACACTAAATTTTTTTCTTCATTATTAAGATCCCAGTTTTTACACAACACGGACGTAACTAACATGGAAGAATTGAAGATGCTTCGTTCTAAAGCATAACGGGAATCAAAGGTAATTGAGCTATAAATGGCGTCAGTTGATTTATCAAATGAAGATTGTCGTTACCAAAGGGTAAAGAAAACCCTGTAATAGCGTTGTCTATTTTATTTCATTTATTATTATTATTAAATGCCAACAATCTAGTGCCCAGCTAAAGAGGGAGTAACCTCTTTGTTCATTTTTAAGAACGTCCTAGAAATGTGTTTTGCAGAAAATTGACTAAGTGCAAACCAAGAGTCACTGAGAATTGAATGGTCGTATGGAGAGGCGTTAAGTCAGAAGAGCCTAAGAATACGCAGTCACACAGAAGAGAAACAGATTTTTTCATCGATACTACTTAATTGAAAATCGACAGGGTGGTTTTCGAGAAAAAGTGAACAATTCTCTAAATCATCTTAGAAAAAATTAAAATAACAAACCTAATTCCATACATTTTCATAACATCTGTTTTATCAATAGAAAAAACTGTTTTTCTTCTGTGTGCCTACAGATTCTGATTTTTTCCTTCCCTCTTCTACTCCTTACGGCCTTGTGAAGGTTCAATTCCAAAGGACTCAGCCCAATTTTTGGACTTTGTCCACTTTTCTCCAATTCTGAGATTGGCAGTAAAAAAACGATCGCCACAACCAGATCTATAACCTTCATCTTAGATTTATTAGTGCCGTTTTGGAGAAAGTGGACAAACACAAACTGAGTCCGAAAAATGGGTCAAAGATCCTTGAAGCTGAATCTTCCTAAAGCCCTATGGGTTAGTTATGGTAATCAGAGACTAGCGGATTAAGCAGTTACACAGAAAATATGTTTTCAGTTGATACTACCTCGGCAGGTTTTCAAGTGAAAATAGGCAGGGGGTTTTTGAGAGATGTGCTAGAAAAAAAATCCAATCCTATACATTTCCATGATACCCGTTCGTCAAACAGGAACTACTCCTATGTTCTGTAAAACGGAATTCCTATGTCAATTAATTCAGGCAGCAAATAAAGAGTACTCTGGAAATTCTCTTACATCAGCGTGGATTGAGTTGACTTACCATATCTGCGTGTTTAACAGTAGACAGTCTATGTGCTATCACCAACACTGTTCTATTTATCATGGCTCTGTCTATGGCCTCTTTAACTATGGCCTCACTCTCCGCATCCAGTGCACTAGTGGCCTCATCTAGAAGCAGGACTCTGGGGTTCATGATGAGTGCACGAGCTATCGCCACTCTTTGCTTCTGTCCACCCGATAGTCGCACTCCCCTTTCACCCACTAGTGTGTCGTAGCCATTTTCCAAACTAGATATGAAATCGTGTGCATTCGCTAGTTTCGCAGCCTCCACCACCTATAACAGATGACTTCAGAAAAATTGCACTTCTAGGTCGTTTTCTGCATTACGTGAATATTGTCAGCTGAATGATTCGCCCCATGCAACAATCCTTTTTTAGCAAATGTATCATCATTGAGTATTCTTCCGATCTCTACCACTCTTGAATAGCACCGATTTTTCAACGCAACTTCATAATTCCAGCATTTTCAGGAAATTTCGTTTTATGATGAACAACTTTAGCGATGAGCAGACCAAATGCTATCATTTCACGAAGTAGACTAACTTTTTTCTGAACAGTCTGCGGGTTTATCATTTCATTTTGAAAAACCCAAATTTTTAGAAACTTTTTAAACTTAATAGTGATAACTGCGATCAGAACATTCTGCAATACTTTCTCAGTTGTCGGCCATTCATTTTCTGTGGTGGGCAATTCTAAGTTACTATAAAATTAATGCAGAGCCAAAGATAAATCCAAAACATTTCCGAATCGTGAAACTTCACATATCAACTTCGTCGGATCTCACCTCTTCGTTGGTTGCCTTCTTCCCGAAAGCAATGTTCTCTCGCACAGAGTATCCGAACAAAACCGGCTCTTGAGACACGACAGCTACCTGTTCGTGGAACCAATCCCAGTCCAAGTCGCGAATATCTACGCCTCCTAAAAGCAATTTGAATAGTTCTATAATAGGAGCGCCAGTATTTCAATTTCAATAGCAATTTCAATAGCATAGCACAGACGCAAAGCTTAGTTTCGACCCTTTTGTGATACAATACAAATATACAAGGCTGCCAGACAATTATAAGACATTATTAAGTTAAAAAATTATTTGAAGGAAAAAAACTCTCATACGTTTGTCTCCAATGAAGATCATTTTGAAGGAAAACACTTCAGTGTTACGTTAGCACCAAAAAAAAACTCCTTAGTCGGCAACTAAGCCAAAAATACTTGAATGGCCGAAAATTATTTTGTTGAAAGAACATTCATTTATTCATTTAAAACAATAGAGTTTTTACGTCCCCATTTCTTAAATCAAAAGCTTAAAAATCATTTATCACCACAACACAAGACGATATAGCTGTGCAGGGGCGGATCTAGGATTTTCGAGTGGGGGCGGATTTTCAAAAATCTTTCGAAAATTTTAACGATCTTTTTTTAGGTCGGCCAAATTGATTTTCGGAGCACTCCTAAAGCACTAAAAAGACGCTGTTTTGCTCAAATTTTCCGCGCCGCAGGCAAATTTTTGAAAAAACAGGTCAAAAAGCCGTTTTTGGGCACTTTTTGGAAAATTTTCACAAAAAAAAATCGCGTTTTTTTTGGCGCGCGCTCCCCCTCAAAGTTAGTATATAGAAAAAGTTAAGGGTCCGTCACCAAAAATGGATTTCTTAAAAAGTACCAAAGGGTGGACCCTTTGAGTCGGCATGGGGTCGAATCCCTGAAGGGAGGGGCGTCCGCGCCCCCCCCCCTAAATCCGCTCTTGTAGCTGTGATATAACCTAAGACGAAGCCATTTAGGCCGAACAAACCATTTAGATAAAACATAGACAACAGTCAATTGGAAAAATTTCAATGAAAGCAAGGAAACAGAAAAAATACCGAAAAACTTCAACTTTCAAAGAAAAAATATAAGGCCTTGAAGCTCTTTGAACTTCAAGAATTATTTCTGGTCGACGCTTTTTAATAACATAAACCCAATTTAAGAAAACTAAATCGATATGTTACCTTTTTGTTTGGCTGGAAAAACTAAAAATCAATCCTTGACCTTTCATGACCTTTACACTTAACGAATTCGATGGTGCAGTTTGTCTTCCTTTTAGCAATGAAAAAAAATGAACTGAAGTTAAACCGAAATCGAAAGTCAAACCACAAAAAAGTCAAAATTGAGCTAAATTTCGATCACACACAATTAAACTTTAACAGTTTTCTCAAAAAAAGACCCACGAACTGTGTAGGCATCTTCACTACCCTCATTAACACTTAATCAGGTTAAAGCGGTGGCGTCCTTCATGCTTGAAGGACCGAATGCTTGAAATTAATTTTAGCTTACTTTTAGCCAACCAAAATTGAGTATTCAAAATCTTCAAGTAAATCGCGAAAATCTCGAAGAATGAAAATAAATCCAGGCCATTAATGTTAATATTAACCGATTAAATAATAAGCAAAGGAGATTTCAAGACTGAAAAATTCTTATGATTTTGAACTCACTAATCTTGATGATTATCTGAATAGTAATGCGATTGTAACCCGCAATTTGTAAAATTTTCGATTTTTTCCATTGATTTAATAAATTTTCTGTTAATATTGACATCGATTTTGTGAGAAAGGCATTTAGCCAATAGGAATACTTAGCGATTTTGATTGGTTGAAATTTTTCAAGCATTCGGTCCTTCAAGCAGGAGAACCCTAAAGCTATTTAAATTTCAAGAATCATTAATGATTGATCCGTTTTATTAAACTAACCCAATTTCAGAACTCTGCCTCAGTCAATAGGTTATCTTTTATTCCGCTCGAACCATTTTTTGCACCATGATCACTTTCGTTGTTATATAGAGTAATCTGCCTTTTTAGGCAAATGATTTACATCAAATTTAAACACAAAAACAGCATTGCAAGCTAGCAGACAAGAAAGGAAAGGAGAGCTACTAAGCCCAAAGAAAACATACAAAAATTTTCCGAAGGAATCACAAATAACGTGATTTTTTGGTCAAAACTTCCAGAAAGTGCCTTAAAACGTTTTTTTTGGCCTGTTTTTTCAGAATTTTGCCTGCGGCGCAGATTTTTGACCAAAATAGGGACTAAAATCAATTTGGTCAACATAAAAAAAGGTCGATGAAGTTTTCGAAAGTTTCAAACTTTTGAATCCCCCCTCGAGAAAATCCTAGACAGATCCGCCCTGAATCGATGGACTGAAAAAAAAACATTTTTGTCAAAACATACAATGCTTAAATGATCACAACCTAAAAAGTGATATCTAAATTTTTCAGCAGCTAGTTCATACATACTAAGCATTAATGCTGTAAGCTTGAAGGTGTATCAGTGGCTGCTTACCGAATTTGAGTACTCCCGAGGATGGTTCGTAGAAGTGAAGCAGCAGATTGATGCAAGTAGATTTGCCCCCACCAGATGGACCGACCAGCGCCACTGTTTGACCCGCTTCCACGCTGAACGAAATACCTAAAATTCAAACATGACATTTCGTTAGTAACATATTAATATTATTTATATTACCCGCTTCTCATTATTTTGAACTAATTTTTTTGAGACATTCGCTTTTAGAAAGTCCATTTTAAGCCGCCTTATTTTCGCGAAATGTCGGTGAGTTTTTCCAAAAATAGCTGCAATTTTGCGAATAAAAGAGACACTGTCTGTTTCTATTTTTATCAAAAAACGCCTTTTCGTATCGTAGACTTAAGAACACCACTCTTAAGTTGGCTTTAACTATCAATCTTCCGAGTAACCACAAAAGTTCAAAATCAGTCTGACTGAGAGAAATTGAACGGAATATTTAATTGTCTCATGCACAAATATAGTTGGGCCCACCGAGATAACTTAGCGCGCTTTCAAATCTTCGGCAACAACTTTTCCATTTGTTTCTCACATTTTGACTTTTACATAAAAAAAACGGGACCCATCTTACATATTTTCCAGGGCTGCACACTCCTTCTACCTTGCAAATACAGCAACTTTTAATTGGGTTGTGGAAAAAATACCTGATAGGACATGTTTGGTGGGTCTGACAGGATACGCAAAGGTGACACTGTCGAAGTCAATTTTAGCCTCCAGCTCACTCTCCTCAATGCGTACAACTCCTCTCTGTTCGATGGCCGGCTGTCTGTCCACCAGTTGGAACAGTCTAGTACTCGCACCCACTGCCTTCATCATGTCTCCAAACACACTGCTGAGAAAGGCGAAGGCCATCGCCACGCCCAGAGAGTACATCATGAAAGCTAACACACACACACACATAAATAATCAAATCAACTCTGCAGTGAATTAAGCGGAAAAATTAAGTTTAGATAAGTTAATTTAAGACAATTATCCACGAGGGAAAGAACCACAATACGGTATGAGCTGTTAACCTCTTTACTAAGTACCGCTGTTGTGCTTTCTTTATGCTCATTTAAGATTTTTCCGTTTATTTCTGCTTCGCTATTGTTACTTCACCCTCAAGAAACGAGCTCGAAAAATGGTTGACTTAAAATAGAGTCAATTTGAACATTGCAACCTTGGGTGAACTCAATTGAGGGACATCGTGTTATTGTAAGCCCGATTGGAAAAAAACCGAAAATATGTAAATAAATAAATAATTCTACAGTCGCATAGAAAAAAAAAACATAGCCAGCTGACAGTTGGAAAAGAGTAATGCGCGCAAGAAAACTGAAACAAAAACAAATCTTCAACTTTTGAATTTCGAAGAAAAAATAGATGGCCTTAAAAGCTCTTTGAATTTGTATAACAATTTATGCTGGACACTTTTTTTGCTTAAACTAACCCAATTTGAGACACAGGCGAAGTTGAACTTCGCTTACACCAGCAAAAATATGACCGATAACGCTACTGGGAAAAACTGAATGACCAAACTTTGAGTCTACAAAATTTCTAAAGTGACGCACGCCAATTATGACGCATTAGCAGTACCAATCAATTTGAGAAAAGAGCAATTTACCAAGTATCATGCCTCAATTTATAGAGCAGTCTGCGGAGCAGTCATAACATGAAAAAATTAAATGTATTTTTTTATTTGAGATTTTTTGTGAAAATCATCCCCCCACACGCCATGTTAAGTACTGTGATAAATTTCGCTCTTAGCAATAAATCAATTATGCCGAATAAGCTTCCTTCAAAAAATTTGGAAAGATTTCTATGACGGATTAAATCTCCGCTTACGTGTCAATAGCGCAAAACATATCGCGCGTTAATTGTCCCATATGGGCCAAAATGGCAATTTTTATACCCCCATAACGAAAAATGATCACGGGTGAAACATCTTTCAAAATTTAAGCTCAAGACAACAATACTTTTTGAATGGTATTAAAAAAAATCCCGTCAAAAATGTCTAGTTAAAAAAATTGTCTGAAGAAAAAAAACCACCCCGAGCACAAATATTCCGTAACTCTCGTTACGAAAGTCGGAACAATAAAAGTCTGTGTTAAAAACCTTAGCATTGGTTGTACTTAATAGCTGGTTATTGATTAAAATGAACACTTTCAAAATGAACACAGTTTATTGCACCAAAATTTGCGTCGCAAAAATATTTTCGACTTAGGTTGGAAAAAACAGATAGTTCATACTATCACACAAGCATTGCGTGTGTAAAAACTGGATCAATAGGTAAAACTTTTATTTCACTGGGAAATCTGATTATTAATTTCCATTTCTGAAATTAGAGATCACGTTTTTTGTGACCTTTACATTTTTGCTGTTCGATAGTGTAGTTTGCCTTCCTTTTAACAATGGAAATGCAATGAACTTGAAAAAAAATCACAAGCCAAACCGCGAAAAATCAAAATTGAGCGTGAACAAATTTTAAGACTTTTTCCTGAAAAAAAAACAAAAAAAAATCAGCCAAGACCTATATAAGAGTACTCACTGCGTTCATTACTCTGAAAAAAACTATTAAAACATTTTTTAACACTTTGACTTACAAGACAGATGACCAATTGAGATTCCTTTGGTCGAATCTTTCGAATGTTCCAGAACCAATTTTCCCCCGTACCACAAAACTAGCACCAATGCACACTGAAACAAAAAAGCATTTAAATTAAAAACAAAACATAGGCAACAGACAGTGGGAAAAGAGTCAATGCACTCAAGGCAGCAGAAAAAATAACTGACTTTTTTTCAAAAAAAAACTTCAATGTTCTAATTTCAAAGCAAGAAAAATATTTGACGTCAAAGCTCCTTGAATTTCAAGAAAAACTTATGATTGACACTTTTTAGATAAAACTAACTGAATTTAAGATAACTGGATCAATAGGGCCATCAACGCATTCTACCTATTTTTTAGCAGATGAATTTGAAATGAACTCAAAAAGTGCATATATACCTAAGTGCATTCATAAATGCATTAGTATGTATAAATGCCCTTCTGTAGTTATTAGAGCATTTAAAGGCTTACCTTTAAAAATCATCACAATACACAAAACAGTTTTCGCCATTTCCATCTACTTTTAAAAAAAAAAATTACTTCAAGCACTAAGAAAAATCGCCTCAAAACAGAATCAGTAACTATAAATACGTGCACCAGAAAAAAATTGCAAAAGCTAGAACGTTTGTTAAAATGAATGTCAGCTCCCAAAAATAAGCCTCAAGGCGTGTCTTTCTAAATGCGAAGAGGAACTTCATACTTCATTCGTCGCTTAGATACGCCTGATTGAAATTAGGATTGGGCACTTCAAATCCGATTGCGATCCTTCCGGAGATTAGGGCAAAACTATTTGAGAATACTTCAACTCATCTAATCGTCCCACAGATGAAAGAAGTCTAAAGCACTGAGAAGGGAAGCAAACTTCATTTATTTGCCCCACTTCAATTCTTTAAATCAACCCGAAGGGGTTTTCGAGGCTAATTCTTTTTGACTTTAGTAGCTTTCGTGCATCTCATTGATTTAGAAGCCGACACCTGGTTTCACGTAATCTAATCTGAGATTGGTAACCAGGGCTCAAATTGGCTTCAGCTGGGCAGTTTATTTCTTTTCCCCCATTATTACAGGAAACATTCCTGACGTACTGCAAATTAACTTCCCAAAACGGTCGATCATATACTACAGCATCTATCGAAGTTCAGCGCCTGCGGTGATAAGCATATACGCAAACCTGAGCATACATCGTATAACTTATCACAGCACCTGTCTTACAGATAAACAAAATCACTTTCTTCATAAATTAACGTCTCGACGTTATTTGACTCAAGAAGCAAATTCCAGTGTGTATTTTTGTGTATTCAACTTTAAAGATCGCCAATTTAAAAAGGTCAACTTCGTTCACAATGGGCCAATTTACAACAATTCTTCTGGTGATGTCAGCGTTGATTATAACTATGGATTTAATTAGTGAAGTTGCATCGTCAGAAGAGTATCTACAAGGAAGTTTTCATCACGAGAAACGGAAGAGCTCTAGTCGGAAGCAAGGAAAAGTGAGGATTCCACAGCAGATGCTGTATTCCTTCGCAAAACGAACTACGGACCCTTGGTGAGATTAAAAACTATTGACCCGTGATGGCCGGCAATTCATAATACATCAAGTTTAATTCATTGTTCAAATTTTATAACCATTTTCAGATGTTCAAATCTGACTAAGTATATAAACCGAATCGCTTGCCAGAATAAAATCGTTGTTACAAGTCTTGTTTTGTTACGAAGCGCATTAAGCATGAAATGATAAACCTCAAATTATTTCAACTCACCAAACAGCGGTGAAGCTTCATTTCGAAAATAATCAGAAAATGTTTTTTTTTTAAAAAAGACAGTCTTAAATCCAAAACAAAAAAAAATCTTCGAAAGAATACAAATATCGAGACATCGGGATTGAAAGCTACGTCCTCGGGCTGAATAGACACTATCTTTCGCCACCCCTCTTGACAAGTACAAACAACAATGAATGCGCTTTAAGAAAGTAAGCGGATCTGCCTAATGCTATTTAAAGACCGCTGTAGCTTTGTGACTAAATGGGAGACGTCAGTTCGAAATTTGCGCTTGTCTCGTGAAAGCAAGAGCATCATAAGCGCTTCGTTTGTTTTTTTTATCAAGTTTATCTGTGTAAGTCCTGGGCGATGTCGTATCTGAAACCTTTTGAAAAAAAAACTTATAAAAATCTTAAAATTATTTTTGACAACGTACTTGCACTAACAAAGACACCACTCCTTGAAATGCCCCATATATGAAAGAGAGCGTTCGTCCAATTTTGAGAGAATTATCGATGTCCTCATTGTACTTCTCACAGGCCTTGGCGTCACAGGCGAAGCTGCGAATAGTCCTCACATTGCTCAGGCACTCTTCGGCCGTAGTGTTTGCTATTCCTAGAGCATCTTGGAAGTGCTTCACTTTACGTGCGTAGAAACGACCTGCAAACTGACACAATAATAACGTAGTGCACACAGAGGTGAAGTGGAGGTTCGAACCCCTTAAAATACAAAAATATATTCGAAAAGTTCGAAAAATAATCTGTCTCATACGAAAAGTGAAGTAATTAAATGAATTCTGTTGAAATCGTCGGCTGAAAAATCAAGAAAATCTTTGAGTGAAATCAATTGCCTTAAACATAAGAAAAGCTCATGCTCCACAAACTACTTTTTATTATTTCTCATAACTAATAGATGAAAATCAGAAAGTGAAACTTTGGTTTAATAAATAATGATGATCCAAAAACTTTTGGAACCAAACAAAATAAAGGATGATCATAATGAAACATCAAAATTGAAAAATAACATTTTAAAAATATGCATTCAAAATTTTCAAACAATTGCCACACAAAAGAATTGCCCTGAAATGAAGCCATTACCTTTAAAACTTATGAATTTAACCCAACTGCATCAATTTTGTCACATAAGAAGTTATTCCGCAACGGAAGGAGACAAAACAGTCAAGTCAAATTGCATCCGCAAAATAGTGATTTTTTTTCAAGGGTAAAGAAATGGAAGTCACTCTTTCAACATTTTCTATCTTAGCGTTGTCTCAAACAGACATTTTCGCAACAAAGAAAACGGTTAAGTAACTAATTGAAGCTGCCATAAACAATCCCTTCAGACTATTGAGCGTAAGTTGCCAAACATTTCGCGGCCATTACAACGAGATTGTTTTATTTTCACCAATGGAAATAAATATTTGGTTTTCGTTTCTTCCGTTCTTAAAATTTTAGTTCAGCAAAGACAATTTGAAAGGCGAGTGAAGCGCTAGATAAGAAAGAACAAAATTCGTCCGCTAAAATTATTCGTTGCTGCGCGCTAGCTGCTTGACCAACCTCGGAAAACTAAGAAGGCAGCCACTTAACACCTCATTGAAAGACAAGCTAGAGCACTCAATCAATATGGTCTAACCGTTCAAGCATATATTGCATCTTGTTCTGTCATGTATGACGACGTACCATATTGTGCAGCCCCGACTGCTACAAGTGGGACTACAGACAGGAGAACTCCGGTGAGGGGAGCAGAGAGCCAGAACATCACAACCACAGAGGCCACTATCTGGATAGAGTACCGCAGCACCATTGAAATATTGACCTAGACAACGCAAACAACACATCGCTACCACATGATTGCAGTCGAAAAAGCGGTAGCTACTACGTTGCCATTAGGAGAAAAATTATGTACAATTAAATCAAGATCGTCCTGTCCTGCCTTCCTATTATTAGAAACGTTTTGCTTAAATTCGAGAGGGGAAATATTTAAAGCCGAATAATTTTGAATAAACAGTTTTTAGGCACTTTTTGAAAAATTTTGAAAAAAAGCGTTTTTTCGGCGCGCGCTCCCCGCTCAATATTAGTATAGATTGGCGCCGAAGCCGCCTTTAGAAAAACTTTTAGAGTCCGTCACCAAAAACCGTTGCAAATAGTGACTTTTAGTGACCATTGAAAAAATAGTGACCAATAGTGACTGTGGTCACTAAAATAGTGACCAAGTGGTCGCCCTGAATAGAAGTGCACAAAATCACAAGTCAAACTGTGAAAAATCCAAACTGAGCGTGAACAAATTTTAAGACTTTTTCCTGAAAAAAATCAGCATAACCTATATAAGAGTACTCACTGCGTCATTACTTCCGATTTCCAAAGTAAAAAACAAAGAGCCTTAGGGCTCTTTGAATTTCAAGAACAATTTATGATTGTCAATTTTTTTATTTAAATAACTAAATTTGAGAAAACTGATTAAGGTAAAAATATTATTGCGCTGGAAAACCTGAGAATGAAGTCCCATTTCGAAGTTAGAATAGGATCACGTTTTCGGACACATTTACAGTTTGGCTGTTCAATGGGAAAAACATAGTCAACAGCCAGTTGGAAAGGAGTAAATGAACGCAAGTAAACATAAAAAAAAAGATGACTAGTTTAAATCTCAACTTGCAAATCAAAGAAAAAATAGATGCCCTTTAAAAAACTTTTTGAATTTCTAAAAAAATTTATGAGTAGCATTTGTTTGATAAAAATGCCACTATGAGAAAACGGGATCAATATGTAATACATTTATTTTGCTGGGAAATCTGGAAATAAATGGAACTTTCGAAACTAGAAGTCGGTCACATTTTTCGTGACCTTTACAATTTTGCAGTCAGATAGTGGAGTTTGCCTTTCTTTTAACAAAGGAAATGAACTGAAATTTTAAAAAATCAAAAAGAAATTTGAGCCTAGACAAATTTTAGGACTTTTCCTAAAAAAATTATTGCGACCTATAAGAGTTTGAACTACGTTCATCGACTCTTAAATTTCTCTACTACCTATATAAGAGTCCTCAATAAATTCGACTCCTTAAAAAAATTGATGCTAAAATAACCATACACGGATATTAAGCCAGCATTCTATACAGAGACAATACGGAGCCGTGAAACCCAAGATGTTTGGGAAAAAAAACTTTAAACAGATTATCGACAAAAATTTGAGGAACAATTTGTTCAATTTGAGGAAAACATGTCGAGAAATTTAATCAACAACTTTAAATAAGATTGAGAAAAACTTCGACGAATTTGGCAACTAAGACGACAATACTTGGGTAGACGCTTAATCGAATGGCAACTAAGACGACAATACTTGGGTAGACGCCTAAAGCGACAAAAAATGTTTTCATAAAAAAAATTGATCTAACAAATTAAGTAACTTGAAGTTTTACACACAACATTCAGGAGCAATTTATGATTGATACCTTGTTTGGTAAAAATAACCTAATTTGAGAAACCTGGATCAATGGGTAGATTTTTTCATTCCACAAGGAAAATTTACAAAAGTCGTTCAAACTTTTGCTGTTCGATGGAGGACTTTGCCTTCCTTTTAACCATGGAAATGAACATAACTTGAAATGAAATCAAATGGATAATCGCAAATCAAAAAACAATTTTAGCGTGGACAAATTTTAAAATTTTTGCCATAAAAATCAGCACGACCTTTAGAAGCGTCTTCGCTAATACAACACAACGCAGCTTGCAATGGCTAGCGAACAGAAAATGAGACTAAATTAACAAAATCGAAAAACATGAAAATGAAAAAAATTGAAAATAATTACAGACAACTAGTGGGTAGACGCCCATTGATAGCCAAAAAACAGTCGGAAAAGAGTCAATGAAACGGAAGTAAACAGAAAAACAATGCTAACTTGCTCTTTAAAGAAATCTCAACTTTCAAATTTCCAAAAAATGGCTTTAAAGCTCTTTGAATTTCTAGAACAAGTTATGATTGACTTTAGACGAAATCAATCCAATTTGAGAAAACAGGATCAATAGGTAAAATTTTTGTTTCACTGGGAAATCTGATAAGTTCCATTTTGAAAATGAGAAATTTCGATTATGTATTTCGGGACCTCATCACTGTTGCCTTCCTTGTAGCAAAGGAAATGAACTTAAGTTACAAAGAAATCAAAAGTCGAACCGCGAAAAGTACATTTGAGCCTGAACAAACTTCAAGACTTTTCCTGAAAAAAAAAGAAATCATCGCGACATATATAAGAGTCTGAGCTACTTTCATCGACTCTTAAAAATGCCATATGAAATTGTTGTCATAAAAATTTTTTGAGCTATTAATTTCAAGAAATTCGAAACACACAAAATACCATAATTATTCACAAAAAATTCTTTGAAGCGATAAAAAAAATAAGGTACTATAGCCGATAAATAAACCAAAGGTATTTAGCTCAAAAAGCTTTTAAGCTAAAACAAAATAAAAAGGAACATCAAGGAAAATATACAATGTCAGGGCTACTAAGTTTACAATTTACAGGACTAAATCAAAAACACTTGCATATGCGATGAAAATTACTGACAGTACAAGACAAGTCCCCCATGGGGCAACTAAGCCAACAAAATATAAGCCGACAAACGGAAGTCCAGGCAAAAAAAAAACATTTCAATTTCATACACTGAAAAAAAACTAGGTCCGAATCGACTCCAATACAATAGAGTAAAAAGATAACCGCATTACCTCTAGGCCAAGTGGTAAGGAGTCTCGAAGTTGCTAAAATGCTAAGAATCACTAATAGAGCAAATTCACAATTTCTTGAAGATAAGAAAAGTACTTTACGTGAAGAAAAAGTCTAGAACCCGATTAGATACAAGTATGTTAGTTGGGTCCCAAAAAATACAAGTATGAAAGATGGATCCCGCATTTTTTGTGAAAACTTCAACACAATTAAACAAATGCGAACCATGTTTTCGAAAATTTTAAGGCCCAAAAAGTTTTCTTCAGGGACCCATCTGAATTTTTGGGACCCAACTATCATAGTTGTACCGCCGATTAGCAGACAATTGCTCTCACAAGTGTTTTAATGGCAAGCGTTATAGCAACCACTAATTAAATTTCTATTTTTATGAAACTGAAGACGTGTCAGTACGTATTTACATCTCACGTGCTGGAATCCGAGGTAAAGTGCTATACCCTTGAAAATCGCAAGGCGTAATAACTCACTGTGATACTGCTCTGAATGACGGAAGTGTCCGAAGAGAGACGGCTGGTCAGCTCGCCCACTCTAAAAAAAAAACAGGCGACAGCATGAACAACAGACAATTTTTCAACGATACAATATTTCGCAGCTTCGTATGTATGCAATATTCTAGTGAGACTACTGACATCTGATTGGCTGCTAGTTGCCATAAAATTGATTCAAGCTAGCATGAATCATATATGTCAGCTGGTTCTATTTCCTGACTACGATATTCGAGAATACTCCTAAGAGGGACGTATCCAAACTAGAGTTGAATAAACTTCACATTAGTTCCGATCAATCTTAACTTTGGAGATCTAGTAAGACCCCAATAAATTAACTGTTTCATTCACAAGTTTTGCTGTCATGCACAGCGCCAGACAATATTCGGAGCAGTCTTTCAAAATCTTTAACAAGATGTTTGTATTGATATTACCGAAGTTCAGTTGATATATCACACCTTGAGACATCGAAGAAGCCTATCTCCTGTCTGATAATGGCTTCGAACAGATCCTGCCGCATTCTGCTGACCAAATTGTAGCCAGCCAGATTAAAAGCCCATCCCCTGACAAGTGAGAACAGAGATCCAGACACCGCTATTATTGTCAGAATCATGATGTTTCTGTTCAGGTTGTCTACGAAAACGACAATTTTCTGCTATTTTAATGGTTGAGTTGACACAAAGTTTCTAAAGAATCTAGCTTCTTTATATTTAAGCTCAACAAAACAGCATAAACAAGGCCAACAGCAGGTTGAAAGAGTATAAAAGACAACGGAACATTAAGAATTTTGAAAAAATTATCAAAACAAAGCTGCTCTTTGAACTTCAAGAACAATTTATAACGGAAACTTTTTTGATAAAAATAATCCAATTTAAGAAAACTGGTTTGTCAGGTAAAATTTTTATTCCGCTGTGAAATCTAAATCCACTTTGGAGAGTGCAATGTACCTAACTTTCAGCAAATTAATTGGAATTCAACTCAAAAAATACATATATACCTAAGTGGGTGGATTCATATATACATTAATATATGTGAACACACTGCAGTAATAAACGCATTTTCAGACTTGCCTTAAAAACGAAAAAAATCATCAAGACTAATAGTGAAAATCAATTCGTTCTTTTACACCTAATAATATTAAAACCAAAAAAGGAAAACTTATTCACGATGATTTGGTACATAAACTCACTGTGTAAATAAAAAAATTGGCTGCTTAGTGTTTACAATTGGAAAACCTAGGAACTATTTTTATCTAGGGATCCTGAGTTATACCGTTATTAGGGTTGGTTGCGTCATCTATGATCTCCCCGAAGAAGAAGGGCAGAAGGAGAGAAGAAGCGCTAGCAAGAAGTAGACTGATTGTCCCCACTGAGAGCAGCTTCCACTCCTAACATAACAAGAACTTGAAAGTTAAAAATTCACCCTCAGTTCTTATCAGTCATATTCTGAAGCAAAATCTTTTGCTTTTTATGAACAGATAAATTTAAGGTTATGTAGCAAAAAGTAGACAGGTCATAGGTAGACACGTTATAAACCAATTACAATCGAAATAATAAAACAAACGTTTTCACAAATATATATTTCCTACGTTTGTGTTTCTTATCTCGATTGTAATTGGTTTACGACATGTCTTCCTTCTGACCGCACTCCTATTTTCTAGTTATTTTCAATTCGCATTTAAAAAGCCATTCAAGTTTCCTACTGGGTATGCTAGTGCAGTAACTCTGGACAGTTTTGAGGTGAGTTTTGTGCGTCTGGACAACAGTAAAGAGTGTCCCTTCTCATCTACTTCAATGCCCCGCTTGTCATAGAAGTGTACATTTTGTGGATCCTGCACCATTCTGAAGATGTCATTTAGCTTCCAAATAAGCAGCACTGAAATATATACCAAATCAGACACTATTCTTTTCAAAACTGAGCTCCCCAATTATGAGAAAAAAAAGCATTTGAGAAACCAATCTGAGAAACAGCAATTATTGTGAGACACTTCAGTCAGCGCGCGACCACGAGTTTATTACTCCATTCTATTGGCTGATTTGAATCGCATCGAACTTAACAAAACTTTCTTATCGAATTAATCAAAATTTGATGATTGCGAAGTAATTTTGATACAAATCCATTTTGTCTAAACGTTTTGTAGTGATAATGCCAAGTCGGCTTATTTAATTAGCTTCTCTTATGCCAGGGGTAGATCAAGATTTTCTCCAGAGGGGGTGGGGCGGATGTTTCCCAATTATTCCCAGAACACTATAAAGACCCCATTTTGACCCAAATTTCTGCTGCGCTTTAATTTTTTTGCACTTCCTGGAAAATTTTTACTAAAAAATTGCGGTTTTACGGCGCGCACTGCCCCTCACAATTAGCATGTATTGACGTCAAAGGCCGAAAAGGGATGTCGTAAAATAATACCAAAGGGGGACCCTTTGGTTGGTGAGTGGGGCGAATCCACCCCTCTCCACCTCCACCTCCACCCCCACCAAATCAGTCCCTGTCTAATACCAACACAGTGAAAATTGGATAAATTCAATTTTTAACGAGTAACAGGGACAGCCGGATGCTGTGCAAGTATCAAAGATTTTTGCTCGTGGTGCGATGAGAGAACTATACGGTGTCGTATAGAGTTGGTGAATTAGGCAACAGTTGTCTTCCAGAAACTAAAGAAGTTTTTGCTGAATAATGTTTGGATTAAAAAAAACCATTTATGTCAATGAACCTCAACTAAGTTTTTCTTTACTTGTTGAAAAATATTCTATTATAAGATAGAAGACATACTCGCTCTAAATTAGACAAAGAATTAAATCCGGTTTTCTCGACAACGGGACGCATTTTAAATAGCATACGAAAAAATTCATTGAAAACATCCGACCCTGCACAGGTTCGAACCCTTTTATTTTTTTGCGGGTCTCCTTCTCTACCTCTACGCTATAGATCTATGAAAATACGCTAAAAACAAACACAAGCACACTAAATGGGAACAATAACTTCGAAAAATAGTTTCGCTCTTCCAGGTTCAAAACACAAATGTCTGATTTTTTTTCTGCTCAACTTGTTTAAATTAACATGTACCGAAACAGCCTGTATTAAATTCCAAACACAGAAGCGTGAAAATATCTCGTGGAAACACCTTAAGTTTAAGATCCCAGTTTAGACATTGGATTGGCACGACAGTACTCACATGAACACAAAAATATCCATATACAAGGATTGTTTTTCTGTTCAAAATTCTCCCAAACAAAAAAAAATGTTTTTGAAGCCCAAATCTGCCATATACAAGGATTGAGGTTCTCTTCAAACTTCTCTCAAACCAAAAAAAAATCTTTTTGAAGGCGACGTTCCAACAGCAGAAAATTTGAGCAAATCATTTTGGCGGCACTAAGAAAACTCGCTCTTTATTTTTATCACGAGACAAAGATACATAAGGAAGGAAATCAGCAGATCTTACTACCACATTGATGACTTTCAAACTAAACTTTTCGAATTAAATGAAGTGGAGCTAAAAACAAATATTTGTGTAATTAACAAGTGGTTTGGAGCTAATTTACATTCATTGAATGTCAAAATCAGATATTTTCTCGATATTAACTTGATAAAAAATCATGAGTGGTTAAGGGAAATTCAATAATAACGTGAATATTTCGAGAGCCGTGCAAATTTTTGTGCATGCCGGTAGACTTCGAAAATCTGCAAAGTTTTGTGCAACCCAAGCTGCAGCTCAAAAAAAGATGCAGTTCAACAAAACTCGTGGAAACTTTGCAATCTTTGCAACCCGAAATGCAGTTTGGGAAATATCAGAGTCTACATAATTGCTGAGTGACGCAAGCCAATTATGACGCATTAGCCTTACCGGTCTTTTGAAAAAAAAAAGAAAACTACCAACTAACATGCCTCAATTTATAGAGCGGACGCATTTTAAATAGTATACGAAAAAGTTCATTGAAAACATCCGACCCTGCACAGGTTCGAACCCTTTTATTTTGTTGCGGGTCTCCTTCCCTACCTCTACGCTACAGATCCACGATATCTTGAATCTAGAGTGCTATTTGTAATATAAAAGTCTGTCTTATAATCCTTAGCATTGGCTGTATTCAATAGCAGGTTATTGATCAAAATGAACACACTTTGCCGCAACAATATTTGCGTCGCAACAATATTTGCATCGCAACAATAGTTGCGACTTGGGTTGGGAAAAGAGATTTCATACTATAACACAAGCTCTGCTTGTGTAAAGAAACCCAATCTTCATTAGGCTAATGAACATTTATTGAATTTCAAAATTAGATATTTTCACGATATTAATTTAATAAAAAAATCATCATGAATGGTTAAGGTACCCCAATACTAACGTGAATATTTCGAGAGCCGTGCAAATTTTTGTGCATGCCGGTAGACTTCAAAAATCTGCACGGTTTTGTGCAACCCAAACTGCAGCTAAAAAAAAGATGCTGTTCAAAAAAAACTCGTGGAAACTTAGTAAGCTTAGCAACCCGAAATGCAGTTCGGAAAATATCATAACAATTGGTCTGACAGTCTGGTCGGTCTGTTTACTCTCTGAGGCCAGTAGTTTCTGTCTGTCTACAAATCTCTGCACAATCTCTACCTCAATTGATCTAACTACCACTTCAGACCGCAGTTTACGTCGCAAAAAATCTTATAGCGACCGCCTGCTTATAAGTCGTAAACTTTCAGACATTATTCCTTCTTGCAGTTTAGTTTCTGCACAGTGACGAGGTACGCAAACAAATTGTCGATAACAGTCTAAACAATAGTTAACCTGGATTTTTTTGGCAGAATTTCGCAACCTATAGAAATCTCGACAGAATTTAGATATCTTGTTCAGTTGCTTCTTGGTGGGCCTTCAGATACCGGTCAATCTGAATGACTCTATTATGATAAATCAAGCACTCCGTTTTATTATCGGACTTTCTTGTGTCCCCTCTTCTCTCATCAACGTTCAATGCATTCACAATGTTCACAGCTGGAAGAGATTTAAACTCAAACCTTCCATCAATTGATGGTGCTGAAGTTGAACTGATAAATAGAAGTTGAACTGAAGTTGAACTTAAATAAGATAAAAAGGCCTTGTAACTCACCACTCGAAAGATTCCTTGTATGACTTAGATACAATATCGTTTACCCACTCGAAAGAGTCTTTTTATTACTTGGATACAATATCGAGCAGACTACGAATTTTTCTCCAGGGCATTAGCTCGTAAAAGTCTACAAAAAACGTTGCTCTTGACTCGGTACATGTCAATGAGCCGGGACGATCTGCGCGTCTACCCACCCAGGAATCATCATTCGCGTTGTTCATCTGTCGGTCTGGGTCGGCTAAGCTGCTCCCTCTGTCCTCGTCTCCATCCTATATCTTTGTCCCGTGTCCTCTCTCATCGTCATCCCTGAACTCATCGTTCAGCGTCACCTTCTGCTTCGCCTGTTCAGCTGCTTCTTCTGCTCTCGTCTTCTTGTTCTAGTATTCGTCTCAGCTTCTCGGCCCTGTTAGGGCATGCCGTGCGTTGTTCGAGTAGGTCTGGCCAAATTAGTCTTTGTTATTATTCTCATGCTCAAAAGCTGACTGGAAGTGTATCGAAAATGAAAATAATCAAAATCCATTCATCCCATAGTGCTACAGCAATGTTGATATTGTTGTTGATTTATGGTACAACTGGTTATATACAATTTTCGAAAATCAAATTTCCAAGAAAACAAAACATCGCGTCAGTCTACCACATTGGGTCTCAAGCGAGATATCTAAGGTTATCAAAAGACAAAATACCCAATTAAAACAAACACAAAAACCGCCGAAGTAGAAACCAACAAAGAAAATCAGAAAATCTAGAACAAGAAGTTGCTGTTTGTTTGAATTCGAAAGCGCAACCTTCAAGAACGGCAAATTTTCAGAAATCCAAAAATATTTCCAAAGCATTCGAAGGACAAGTCAACTGCCATCAGTAATGTACTCGAACGATACAATAGCTGTAACCGACAAGAAAAAGGCTGATCTCTTCAACAGTTTTTTCCAATCTGTTTTTACCACGACTCACTACAAAAGAAACCAAAAAGAGTCCATAGCGAAGATAGACAAGATCCATTTTACCAGAGCAGAAGTAGAAAAAACATTGGAAAAATTGTGCATTGGGAAAACTAAAGGCCCTGATGGTCTTAGAAGTCTGCCACTAAAACGCTTGACTAAAGGTCCTTCCTTGACCTTCCTTTTCAACTTAATCGCGAACAAGCATATCTATCCAAGTCGCTGGAAAGCCAGCAACATCATACCGCTCTTCAAAGATCGAAATAAACAGGAAATATCAAACTATCGACTTGTCTCGCTGTTGACAAACTTGAAGATGCTATTCAAGTTTGTCATAATCATCATCCGACAAGAACAACATGGATTCACAAAAAAAAAAATCAACAATGAAAGATCATCCTCTACCTATCCGAACTTTTTGATACCCTAGATCTACCAACTTTAGTGTCACTCTATCTTGACTTCGAAAAAGCCTTCGACGAGTCAGTTACGAAAAGTTACTTGAGAAATTAGAAGAGTTTGGAGTATAAGGTGGAGTAACAGATCTTCTTTGAGATCTATCTTAAAGGACGGACACAGAGAGTAAAAGTGGGAAACTCATTATCATCTGAGATTGAAGTGAAAAGTGGCGTCCCTCAAGGATCAGTCCTGGGGCCACTACTTTTCATAATCTTCATAAACAATCTTTTGAATTGTGTTTTGTCGAAACGCTTTGGCTACGCAGATGACTACAAAATTGTTGCAACGAACTCGATAACACTTCAAACTGACGCCGCCAAAATTGCGAAATGGTGCACCCACAATATGATGAAACTCAACATCAGCAAACGCAAAACATTTAATTTAA